AGACCTCTACACAGGTAAGAGAAGGTATCAATTATCCTAGCCCTCTACACAGGTAAGAGAAGTTATCATTTATCCTAGCCATCTACACAGGTAAGAGAAGGTATCAATTATCCTAGCCCTCTACACAGGTAAGAGTAGGTATCAATTATCCTAGCCCTCTACACAGGTAAGAGTAGGTACGAGTTATCCTAGCCCTCTACACAGGTAAGAAAAGGTATCAATTATCCTAGCCCTATACACAGGTACGAGAAGGTATCAATTATTCTAGCCCTCTACACAGGTAAGAGAAGGTATCAATTATCCTAGCCCTCTACACAGGTAAGAGAAGGTATCAATTATCCTAGCCATCTACACAGGTAAGAGAAGGTATCAATTATCCTAGCCCTCTACACAGGTAAGAGTAGGTATCAATTATCCTAGCCCTCTACACAGGTAAGAGAAGGTATCAATTATCCTAGCCATCTACACAGGTAAGAGAAGGTATCAATTATCCTAGCCCTCTACACAGGTAAGAGTAGGTATCAATTATCCTAGCCCTCTACACAGGTAAGAGAAGGTATCAATTATCCTAGCCCTCTACACAGGTAAGAGAAGGTATCAATTATCCTAGCCATCTACACAGGTAAGAGAAGGTATCAATTATCCTAGCCCTCTACACAGGTAAGAAAAGGTATCAATTATCATAGCCCTCTACACAGGTAAGAGAAGGTATCAATTATCCTAGCTCTCTACACAGGTAAGAGAAGGTATCAATTATCCTAGCCCTCTACACAGGTAAGAGAAGGTATCAATTATCCTAGCCCTCTACACAGGTAAGAGAAGGTATCAATTATCCTAGCTCTCTACACAGGTAAGAGAAGGTATCAATTATCCTAGCTCTCTACACAGGTAAGAGAAGGTATCAATTATCCTAGCCCTCTACACAGGTAAGAGAAGGTATCAATCATCCTAGCTCTCTACACAGATAAGAGAAGGTATCAATCATCCTAGCTCTCTACACAGATAAGAGAAGGTATCAATTATCCTAGCCCTCTACACAGGTAAGAGTAGGTATCTTGCTGCGTTCCCGCACTTTGTTCAACCTCGCTTTTTTGTCGTGTGCGCTACGTTCATGTTAAGACGTCTTGTTTTGAATTATACTACAGGTCATACTAAGTCCAGTTCAGTACCATTGTATGTTTAGACTAATTTCGAAAGCCTTATCGATT